ACATCCACTGCGGTTGCTGTCATTGTGGCCTTTGGCAGCACTGTTGGGGGGCCATCCAGCCGCGGTCGCTTGGCGGCAGTCGCGCTGGCCAAATCGGCCGAGGGTCTGAGGGGATTTAGGGGCGCCCGCGGAGCCACGGTCGGACCCGCCGGTGCCGGAGTGGGAGTCGCTGCAACCGCTGGCTGAGTTGCTGCCGCTGTCTGAGCTGGTGGAGGGACCACCTGCCCCTCTGGCCGCTTCGGTATTGACGCTGCGAGCTGCGGGGGCATGGCCTTGGCTTTCGGCGGCACTACCGTTCCATTCACCGCAGCCTGTGGCTTGAGTACGACTTGAGTCTCCCCATCTCCATTCGGCAGCTTGACTTCAAGGGGCATGAGACTGATGGTTGCATTGGGCGTGGGCTGGTTGGGCAAGGGCGGTAGGGTGATCTCATCCAAGGGCGGCGCCTCCGGAGCGCCGGCCTCCTCGCGATGTGCGAAGATTGCCTGGATGTCCATTTTTAGGAGCTCCCTTTGCCATACTCCGCCCTTGAAGTAATCGTCCACCTCTGCTAGGGGATAGAGCCGGAAGAGCTCCTTGAAGAGATCCACATCCGGCTTCTGCAACACCACGTCCAAGTAGCGCTCGCCCATCAGCGCATCAAGCCAAAATCGCTGAGCCGTTTCATCCCGTCGGGAAATCCGCTTCTGAGCCAAAAGAGGCCGGCAGCGAGCTTTTCTGCATGCCGTGCTCTGCAGGGGGGTTCGGGGGACGGCGAGCGCATCCACAGAGGTGCGAAATGCTGGCGAGATACCACCGCCGAAAAGACCACAGCCAGCACAACACCTTATCGCATGAGGGGCGGAGCGGGCACTGTATGGATAAAGGAAACCATCCAATCATGCGAGAGCCATTGGAATTATCAACCACAGGTGATTGGTGCTGCTTGCTGCTTATTATGTTTTTTGTGACAAATCGTGGTTTTCGTGCCAGTGGCAGTGGCAACAGCAGTCCCCCAAGCACGAGCAGCACCAGCAGCAGCAGAAGTAGAAGTGGAAGTAGAAGCGGAAGCGGCAGCGGAAGTGGCAGTGAAAGTGCAAGTGCCAGTGGAAGTGGAAGTGGTAGTAGTAGTTGTCGTCGTCGTAGT